AAATAAATTATTCTTGAGTACGAGAAAATTGTTTATTTTCCCGGGAAAATCCATTTTGGGGCGGGAAAATCCCACTGAGTTGCCCGGTAAGAACCTTAATATCGCAAGAAATTCAAATCTGTGGGAGGGCGTGTTGAGATGTCTTTTCTCAAAGTCTGCAGTATATAATGAGAAAATGTTAAAATTTAAGTCGTATTTATTAGCCGGTTGCTTGGTATTATTGTGTTTCTGCTTGATATAAAAAGAACGCAATGGGACTCATGCATGGGCGGCTCACCAAAGAAAATAAAGAATTCTTCCAAGATTTTTCTCACTCGTGATAAAATATTCTTTTTTAATTGGTGTGACATCACACAGATATTCTCGTTCATGTGTGCCACAGAATCAGAGTCACATGTAATTGTAGTATATTAATCACCTATATATTAAAGTGCAGCAGATTATAAATTCCCGACACACCTGTCTATAACCATAAATTGAAGTAAAGCATTGAGGTACGCCTTTGATCACGAAGCAGGTCTTAGATAAAGTTATATACCGAGAATAAAAAACATCTATTTGTCAAAAATAACCGTAAATATTAAATACATAAATTGACAGTTTTTATTATATAACCTGAAAAAGTGAATTAAAAGCATATAGGGCCTACTGCGGGTATTACTACGTCGATGGTTGGTTAGCAGAGACATAGATAAACCCCCCATAAGGACGTATATATTCAATCTTCATCAGCGCGGCAACCAGTGTCTACTGCCAACCTGCAATTTTACTTCTTCGCCGTTCATATCTACTGACCATTACCGGGTTATCAAATATACAATTATAGTATTTTTTCTGTCGGTAAGGAGAAAGAGAGATAGATAAGAAAAAGTAATGAGATGGGGAAATGTTTGTATCGTTATACATATCTATTATGCCGTACAAGGAATCACAGAACAACCAAGTCCAAATCCGTTATTCAGTTACATTTACGTGTTTGAAATGTCTATCAATTGTTTGCACAATACTAAGCAGTATTAAATGAACAACTGAGCATAGATAAAAAGTTGTTTGAATAAATCACGTGTACTCTGTTGTCGTTGCCAAGCAAACTTATTACATTCAGAACTCTTCGCTAAAACGCTCGATTATTTCAGTGAAACATTAGTTTTCATCAGTACCTAATTTTACCATCATTTACGTGCAAAAATAAGATGATATTTCAATTCTTCCAACTAGCTTTAATACAGGTTCATTTAGCAAACGATTTTTGGAACTACTTCGAAAAAAAAACGTATGAAAAAAATCTTATAATTTCCTGTTTGGGTGGGTCTCCCATTTCATCTATTACAGTCCAATTTACTAGCTAAATATGGTAAAAGGCCATTATATTGTGTTTTTAAAAGCTTATCACAACATCAATAACAACATTATATTTTAAATCTAATTATGAACATTATTATGGAAGACACAAAATTGCTGTCCATCGTAACTTAGAAAGTTCTGTTGATCATATACATGCAGAGACGTTGTCTGGATAAATTGTCGCTACGCAGATACCGAGACAGAGGCTATCAAATTTTCACGGACACTAAACTTTGCCATCTTTTTTGACTGTTTTACAGCTTCAATAACAAAATTGTAACAGATCTCTTTGTTTTGCATATATGCAGCCTAATTTTTATTTTTTTAACTACTTCGAAAAAATAGTGAAATACAGGTTCGAGTCTAGAGCTATTTTCTGACAGTTTTCCAAATTATCTTTGCTGATCCAATTTCCATTTTTGACCGTCTTTCGACAGAAAAAAAATAGATACCCGTCAATGTAAACTTGAAAATCTGACGTCTTCCGGAAGACGTCCTCATTCCGCCCCTGAAATATGATAACTTGCAGCTGCCTGTCGGGTCAGCGTAACTGCCAAACTGTGGGGTGTCCAACTGCTGATCTGTTGCTGGTCAAGAACTCTATGGGTCAGCATTAACTGGATCCTATGGGGTTAAGGTCATGTTATTAGCATGATTCGCCTTCGTCTTATCATTTTATAGCATGTTGATTGGTATTAACATTACCTGGTAAACTATGCACTCTGCGAGTAGGCCTACATTTTTAGTCTTCAGTGTCTTTTAAGACACTTAAAAGTGAGTTCTGATATTTTTGAAAACCCGTTTACTTGTCCTACGTGAGCATTGAGTACACGCTGGCTATGAGATCGCATATCTATCAGCTTGGTGCAATTACAAAACCAACAACATCATTTTAAAAATTGTGATTTTCCACTGAAAAAAAAAACACCCATTAAGCCATTATGCATACATAATGAGTACGCGCCTCCGTATTATATATAAAGCCGTTTGTGGTCCGCGTGTGCTTGCACCTCCCACAGCCGCGACAGATTGCAGGTCAGGTGAGCATCAGCAAACTTTTTGGCTATTTATTCTAACTTGCAACACGTTTGCTCCTTAGTAAATGCTCGACTCAAGTTTGTCTTTGAAGAAGTGAAAAGGTTTCATAATTTCTGACACTATTCGTAATTTTTTCTCTTTCTCTCTCCTTTCACTATTGTTTTAAAATATTTGGGTTTTGAATTTACATCCTTGGTTTTGATTTTTTTTTTTTTTTTTTTTTTAGTCGTCAACATCCTCGACAAAATGGAATACAAAACACAGTTGTTGTGTGTTCTGCTTGTTCTGGCAACAGTTACTATGGTAGCGCAAGCAGAGCTCGGTCGAAACAACTATGTGTATACAGGAGGTCGCATCTACCCTAGCTACTACCATAAGTACCCATATTATCCCAGCCACTACCCCAGCCACTACCCTAACTACTATCCAAACTACTACCCGAACTACTATCCGAACTACTACCCGAACTACTACCCGAAGCGCTACCCGCAGCACTATCCACACTACTACCCCCAGAAGTATCCGTATTATCCAGGTGGGAAATATACTATCCAGGGCTAATTACAGGTAGGTAAATTATGGAATTAATTGCTTACTTATTAATCCCAGATGAGAAATAGAATCCGTAGGCTGGTAATTTTATTACTCGATTTATCAAAAAAAAGTTTCTCATTTTGGTTATATTTATTTGTCAAGTCTTCATTAGATCGATTATTTGGCCCATTATTTTAAGATTACGTTTTAATTTGGTAATTTCTGGTTTTCAATCCTCTAATTAGAATATTGTTAAGCGTAAATGTATTCAGAAATTTCAAAATTGTTTTTTTATTAACAGATCTCCCTCGAAAACCAAAAAAAGTTGACTGATTCACGGATGTCAGTAGCAACAGACGAAGAAATATTGGCAGGAAAAACGGACAATTTACGACGAACATTATAAAACCATTATCTTATATTTGCTAACTTTATTCAAACAACCGGAAAAGAGAAGAATTTATTTAAATATTTGGAAACTGACGATGGTCTCGTTAACTCGGAATTTTTAATTTTTGTAGCAGTGAAATGAAATTGCGAATAGTTAACTGAATCAGAGAGAAAAATTGTGCAGGCACTTAAAGGCACAAGGAAACGGTATCTATTTTTCTGAGATGCACACTTAAATATAATGTTCAGAATATTTGATATTTGACGTACGGCTTTGAGTTTTTCAATAATAGCGTTTATCACAGCGATAGACCATGCAATCTAGAAGTTTAAGTGAAAAGATCTTTTACATGTATAAACTGTTTCTTACAACTTTTTTTCCATTCTTGAGAAAAATAATATCAGATAATACTGTATTTCAAAATGAAATAAATAGTTTACATACTTTTTCTAGTTGTCATCTGAAAAGCCGGTAAAACGCCCACCTTACATGAACTTGTGAATTAGGATTTACATATAAACTGAAGTATATTAATTGAGCTAGTATACCATATACTTTGAAAATGACAGAGAGTAGCTCGAACCGGTGGATATGAGAAAAGGCACCTGCGGTTGCATTAACTTAACAGTAGCTTTCTCTTTTGGTGCTTGGGGCAGTTACTTCAAAGTAATATTGAATATAATTCAATTTCCATTTTCTAACTCCATTTAACTAAATTACACAACTTAACTTTTTTTTTTTAAATTTTAAAAATTGATTTCTGGAGGATACAGCACTGCAAGGCTCAGATGGCAATGTTAAACATATGAATGATATCTCAGTAGATTAACCCCTACATGTATATAGTTTCCAGGGAACATAAATTATTTAATCATACGCCACCCAGAATAACAGATTTCACTGGAAACACCGCTCTAAAACCTGTAAGCTTGCTTTGTCCTGTGAAACTCAGGGTGAACGATACAGGATTAACACACATGTATAGCACTGCAAATGCGTTTTTCACATCAATGGTAGTAAATGTAAAACACTTTCCTGATTTAATTAATTCTCAAAATTTAGAAATACAAAATATTCAGATGTATACACAGTGCTACGTGAATCACTCTCACGCATTATTTTTCGGCAATAGTACTTACCGTCTGACAATTCTATTAAATGCTTTAAAAAATGTACGGATAGCCCCAAATTCAGCGGCGGATCCAGGATTATTTGAAGGGAGGGTCTGAGGATGCGAAGCCGACCCTCCCCCTCCCTCTTGGCGTGGGGTTCGGGGCCCACTTTAGTACAATTATCGAATTTTCACGGTGTTCTATTAATTTGCAGTGGTGGATTTAGAGGGGGGACACGGGGGTCCTGACCCCCCCCCCCTCTTTGATTTCTGAAAAAAAATCGCACCAATGGTCCCCGCTTGAAATTATAATTTTGACAAGCTGGCAAGATTCTAAACTGTACCAAACGGCACCATTTGCTCTCTAAAATACCATTTTTTTTTTGGGGGGGGGGGCCTTAAGCGGTCCACCCCTTCCTCTTTCCTCTTAATTCTGAATACTATGATATCCATTGAAGAAATACCATTTTTTTCTATTGGGCCTCTACAAGAATTACCTGTATATAAAGGAGGCGCAAACGAGCGTAATATCGCGCAAAAATATTTCCCATGCTTCACTTCCCCTCCATTGACCTACTAAACTCTATTATTGTTTACTCGAGCTTTTTGTGCTCTAGCAGTGCAGTCAGTTAAGATTTTAAGGACAGGGACCAGGCAGGCTTGGTTAGGCTACACTTTTAGACGAACTCCCGTGTGTTTCAACGTTTCTTTGTGATGGCTAATCCTCAACCACAACCCCCAGCTGTAAATGGGGATGGAAATATTGTCTATGATCAGAAGAAGCATTTCGCAAAAGGGTAAGGATTTTCGAACTTAAATACTTGTGCAAAATACTATGGGAAATGCTATTAGTAATGTGTTTCTCAGAAGAAACATGCCAATAAAGAGTAAAACTGTCTCTCTGTGTATAGTACTGATTTAAATGTATACAGTACGAGGAGAATCACGTACAGGTGCACGCTCAGATAAATCAAGAGCAATATGGGCTAATATGAGTGTTCTGTGTTAACCTAGTTTCGAACCATTTTTATACCAGTGCACATTTACGAATTTATGTTGTTTAACATGTCCATATTATAGGGTCTCTTAGGTTGCACCGGGCGTTAGATGTTGTTGATCACATGCAGTATTATAAAGGGGTCTGTAAGGTTACACCTGATTTGTACCTGTTTGTCATCGGTATGTTGCGTCGGTTCATATTAATTCGAGGGTGTCTCGCTATTTGAACTAGTTTATGTCATTATAGTGTTATGTTTTTAGTCAAGTGTGTCTCTGCGGTACGTCATTGTTATGGGACCAACTCAAGAGATTGTCTGGCTTAACTAATATACATGTATATATACCTGTCATGTCTCTAGGTGTCAACAAACGGCGACGACTTTATCTCATACTTAAGTTTTATGGGCTTGATAATAATAATTAAATGTGTTCGTGACAATATGATTTTTAAGTATAGGTGACTGTCTCTTTTGTATTTGAAGGACACAAATTTCTAGCTAAACAGGATATTAACCATACTTTTGGTAAATGGGAATACATGTATAATTAAAAAGAAAAAAGAAATAAAAAATAATCAGTTGAAGGGTACATTGGGGGGGGGGGGGGTAAGGAGTAAATTCAAGCGTTGGAATGTTTAGAACAGTCGCGTACGCACCCTTTGGTCCACCCTCCCATTCCTTCCGAATCCAACATGTTTAACAATGAACAAGATGCAAGTTGATAACTTTTGGAAGTGTGCTAGCTTTCGAGCAAAAGAATCTATAGGCCTACCTATGATCTTTTAGGAGTGTGTGTTTTAATATGCTTTCGATTAAAAAAATATGCGACAATTATTTCTCCTTAATTAGTTATGGACATAAAATCTACATATCATATTGTTTTGAACGTTAATCTTATGTTTTCCAGATTTATTGACGCTTCTCTGATGGTAGCAAACGCAGGGCGCCTAGACACTCTCCTCCAGACCACCACACATGATGTGAAGTTCTACGTGGTTCTTGTTTTACTTATAATGTGTGTGGTACTACAGCTGATTTTGGCCTGGATGCTTTGGTTCAATGTACGTGAATTTTTTATATGTATTACGTGTGAATATAAAATCCATTTGCTTTGATTGTCCAGTTCCTTCGATCAACCAAACCTTATTTCTTCAGTTTGCGCTTTTTACAACCCCTATTTTGTTCATTATTTGCTTACATAAAAAACTTTCTCATACACTTTTAGATATGAAGGAGAGATTTTCCAAAGTAAAAATGCAGTTAACAATATTCACATATTCTTTTATTTGTTATCATTCAAATCTTCTATTTTTGCAGTCGATGTACGGTAAGATTGAGCCCGGTCCGGTTCCTACACTGGAAGACTGTCTCAGTGATGCTGAACTGTTCGAACAAGCACAAAAAAGACGCGCAAAGAGAATTAACAACAGAGATATCGCCAAAAAACTCGATGACGGTGCGGACCTCGCTCTACTTTTTATACTTATTCTCAATATTTTCATCACAGCATTTGGAGCCAAAGGGTCTTGAACATCATTATGTACGCTGACGTTACGGTACGTACGGCTAATTGACTGGATGTTCATTCCAATTTACAGTAAACCTTCCATTTTTGAATAGGAGACAATCTTGCCAGCTGGTTGCATCTGGGCCGCTAACGCGACACTCAGCGTTTTAAGCTATGTAACATTGTCAAATTTGAACTATTGTGTGATTTTATTTCATTTACATTTTTGTTTTATTTCTCATTGTGATTTGTACTTTGCCAAACAACTTCACATAGAAGTCCAAAATGAAACTGAATTTTTAAGCGTGCATCAGAAGCTTTAAATATTGCATAAGGCCTCGTGGAATGTCATATACTTGTAGGTCTAATATTAATTGCCAATGCAAAATCTCTATTTTTCCTAAAAATCAATTGTATTCATTATTTTGTTGTTTTTTTTTTGGCGAAACCTTCACGAGTTAACAGTTTGACATCTACCAAAGGAGGTCACTACTTGGGGGTGTATCGCACAGCACATAACTAGTTCAGATTTGATGCAAACGATTCTACATATAGATTTGACTGTTGTGTGTTTTCTGTTTTTTTTTCGTTTTGCAAAAAAATAAAATAAATAAATAAATAAAAAAATAACACTTCATGTGATCAAAACCAGTCTTATTCAGGCAATCTTTAGATGCCATGTTTCTGTTGTGCAAATAAAATGAGATTTCGTTTTGAAGAACACGTCTTGTTGTTTATGTCTCCTCCATCCCAGTTTACCACAAACCTTCATAGTCCCACTCACATCAAGAAAGAAGGACATAAAGAATATAGGTTGTACGAAGTTTGGCCAAACAAGGCCGCTTTTATTATATAACTCCACTATCTAAATAATTTTAGCTATTTCTAATACATTTACCCATATGTAGAGTTTCAGGGAAATAAAAATATGAAACTACCCCCCCCCCCTTAAGAACAGATGTTGCTGGAAATTCTGCTCTATTATCTGTAAGCATAACTCTACCGTTTCCAGTTGTAGCAACCGTGACCTATGAAACTCAGGTTTGACCGATGCAGATATATAACATTGTACTGTCATGTCAATTCATAGAAATACTGGGGTAACGCTTGTTGCATAAATGGTTTTCTTTCGCTGATAGTTTTGTTGAATTAAATGTTAAAAAATAGTTTATCGAAATGGATGCATGGCCTACATGTAGGATAGATAAATAAAAATGTACCAGCATGTAAGTTTAACCATAGCTTTTTTCCTTAAAAAAACACCCCCTTTTCATGTAAACCCCGAATACAATGATATCTGCAGAAAAAATACCTTAAGCAAACTATTTTTCAACTGGGTCTCCACAAGGATTACCTGTATATGAGGCAAGCGCACTAAGTAAACGACGTGCCGCGTATATCGTACAAAAATATTTACATACACTTCACCGCCATTGACCTACTAAACTACATACACGTCCTTGTTTACTCGCGTCTTTTTACTCTACCAATAGGCCGCCTAAAGTATGATAAGATTTTGAACGAGGAACCTGGTACAGTCTTCTGTGTCTCGACATTTCATCGTGATGGCTAATCCTCAACCGCAAGCCGATGAAATCTACAATAAGAAGAAGCATTTCGCTAAAGGGTAAGGGCTGAAATATTAATATACCCTTGTCCCACCGGATACAAACTACTATGGGAAATGCTGTTAGTAATCTTTTGCGGAAGAAACATGCCAGTAAAGGGTAAGACTGACAATCTATGTAGGCCTCATAGCACTGAATTAAATGTACGCAGACAATCAGATGAACGAGTTCAGAGAATCTAGGAATACTGTGAATATGCTATGTTAACCTAGTTACATGTACATGACTGGGTCGTTTATACATATTAAAAGTTACTGGAAATTTTTATATTACGGGGTCTCTGGAATTTTGGCAGGCCTTTTATGTTGCTTAACAATACAGCAATATATAAATAATATCCTTTATTCATACTTTTTACATCAAACTAGGCCGGTGTGAATGTACATGTATATGTAGGCCTATATGTACAGAGATAAAAAAGAATAAGTGTTATTATACATGTAGGCCTACATGCACGTGGATAACAGCTACATAGATCTGCACATTATACAGTTTCCTAGTATATGAAATGGACCTTTGTATTATTTATATCATTGTATAATTGTATAATTATAATTGTGTAATTGTATGATTGTAAACACTACAAAGTGGTACACGTAGCACATTTTCTTTTCTCAAAAGGCCAAAGATATTATCACTGTCTTGTTTGGGTTGTTCATTATGAAGGAGAATTTGACATAGTTGTTCAAATATGTAAAACATGAGTTTCCACTTCGTTCTACTTGAAGGAGTTCCTTTCTGTATAGAGGCAATTAATTAAAAAGTGCTCTTTATCCTCTTTAACTCAAGTGTGACAATTTTGGCATTTTTTTTTTTTTTTTTTTTTTTTTTTTTTTTAATTTGGTACGGTCAGTCAAAGTTATACTTTCAAGAGGGGAATATAGGGGAATATCGGTGTGATTTTTTTTCAGAAACTGACTCTCCCTTCCCCCTAAATCCGCCATGCTTTATTTTTTAAATATCAGTTCACAGTAGCTCACTAGACAGCTAACTCACCTTCTGACCCCTTCAGTAAATTTTCTCCTTATATATCTTCACATATGTGGGAATTGAATTGAGTGGGATTGGTTTTATACATGTAGTTCTAATCCAATAGAAGGTTGAGTAAACTGAAAATTAATTTATGGAAATTAGCAACAAATATAATAAGGCCTTATGGTAATATCTGGTGTGTACGTGACGTTGATAGGCTACATGTGGTTTTGATTTACACTCGCTATGATTTTAGTTTAAGTGCACGTACTTCAGGTACTTGTCTCTGTATTACTCTCATTGTTTTAGAGCTATCAACGGAGGGATTAAAACTGACTTTGTTTATAAAAAACGATGTCGCTGTCACGTTTCAAGGGGACAACAACTAGCTGCGTTTTTTTTTTCTGACCTTGGATCCAAATTTTGAATCCTATCAGGTTGATCTGGCCAGTGATGTATGGCACTCAAGGTCAAAAACATGATAATAATTTTATTTACTCGCGACAAAGGATACATATCCTGTGTTGATTGTTAATTTCGTTCGAATGATTGAGACCCTAAACGTTTGAGGCAATTCTTTTATACGGTATTAACGTAAAGTAAATTTCAAGATAAGCATCATAGTGCTGATCAGACACTGCCTATTATTTAACACGAAGCGATACTACTTAAAAGAAAGCAAAACTGATAACTATGATAATCTTTATCTGTGATCTTTCAGGATATTTTATTATATTGAAAAATAATTGCTAATCTCTCTCTCTCTCTCTCTCTCTCTTTCATATATCAGCATATAATTGTGAATATATACATCAGAATATGTTTTGTACCTTATGTTTTGCAGATTAATAGATGTCTCTCTCATGGTAGCAAACGCAGGGCGCATGGACACTCTTCTCCAAACCACCACACGTGATGTGAAATTCTACGTGGTCCTTGTGTTACTTATAATATGTGTGGTACTACAGCTGATTCTAGCCTGGATGCTTTGGTTTGATGTACGTTTTTGTACGAATGTTTTTAGAAATTGAAAGATGTGACAATGTACATAAACGAATTTTAGGGATAACCCCTTTACTTTGGCTTCAAAATTTATGCGTTCAGTCTTGAAATCACATCGCATGAATCTCGGCTCCGAATCTTTACACAACCATAATTTTGTTTCCTTAAAGACAAAGAATCTATCCCACCCATTTTTGATGGTAAAAGGTAGATTCCAAAGGAGAAATTGCTATTATCAATGTTAACACTTTACAGTATAAAAATTCAAAATCTTTGTTATTTTAGGCTATGTACGGCCATGTTAAGATCGGCCCGGCTCCTAAACAGGAAGACTACCAAGATGACGAAGAAGAGTTCGCAAAGGAAGCAAAACGACACATAAAAAAATTGAAAAGGAAATTGTTGGCAGAAAAACTCTCTAATGGTTCCGAGCTTGTTCTACTTCTTATTCTTGTTCTCAACATTTTCATCACAGCATTTGGAGCAAAAGTTGCATGATGCGAACACCGTACGTTATATATTGACGTTACATATATCTTTTAATTCAGTCACTATGGAAAACAGGTGAAGACATTCTGGATGTCCCTTTCAAGTTACCCTGAGCCTTCTTCATATATTCTCGCAGACAACATTGCCCACTAGGGGGGGGGGGGGGGGGGGGGGGGGGGGGGGGTCGGTGGGGTTGAAGCGGCGCAAGGAAGGCTAACATGGCAGTCTGTTGCAATCTATTAGACCCAATCAACTTTTGAAAACTATGGTTGTCTTTATTCATTATATTCTTTTGTTTGTTTGACAGTGTAATGTGTATTTCAGCAATCAAGTTTACCTACAAGAGCAAAATGTTCACGACTCTGTAAGCGTGCATCAGATGCATGAATATAGATCTTGCTAATAGGACAATCTCGTTGTATGATTCCATATCGGTCTATCATTAACTGCCATTTTAGAATTTGACCTTCCTTAAGATCTTATGTGCATCAAAACTGTATTTCTTCTTTTTTTTTGCCTTAAAAAGCACATTTTCAACATATTGTTCCACTTTTGCAATGAGGAGAAATTCACTATCCTTCCCATTTGGGTGATCTAATGTGACTGGCAGTTAACCAGTCTAATGTGACTGACGTCTCTCAATAGAGGGCGCCACTTGGTGAAATATCACTCAGCACATCACCGGTTCAGATTGATTTGATACAATCGTTTATAAATATAACTCTGACTGTGCGTTTGACCATCAGAAGCAGAATTGGCACAATACAAAACACCGGTGAAATACAAATAATATCTTTCCTAAAGACAATAACTTTATGCACCTATGTTTGTAAACATATTTTATAAATGCATGGTTGTGATAAGATTGACATTCTGTACTTGTACAGTTTTCCCAGATTTATGTTACTGACACTAGTGGCTTAAGGGGAATGGTCTGAGCATGTTCAGCGCTGACAATTTACCTCATCTCATTTCAGTAATTTTATGTATTTCAATTATTGTCCTCATCATGCAATACACCATTAAATCATGTTCAATACTCCATTTAATTAAAAAATGTTTTTTCAGGTAATCTATGATGTTTTCTACATGTTATTCTTGTGTGATAAAGTAAAATATTTTGGAAACATTTCATGTTGTTTTCCTTCACTATATAAAGTAATCTTCATTAATTTAACTGGTGTCTCAGCAATCAACAATTATTTCAAAGAAAAAAAAAGAAAAACAGGGTGCACTAGCCAAAGTCAGCGTCTTTTTTCTGTGATTTCTCAGGCCTACTTACCATGTATGGTCTAATGTTTCTTTCTTTCAGTATCAAATACAACCAAAAATATTGTGCTTAGCTTGGCTAGAAATGATCGAGACTTTCAATTACAAGCAATTAAATTAGACTGCTTGTATGCATTACAGGTTAAACAGTGTTTTATGTTCCTAAATCCTAAAAACCTTTGGCTGAGAGTGAAACTGAATGAAAAATGTACTGAGAGTGCTAATTACATGACTCAACAACTGCAAACAAAGAGAATGACCATAATAAGCACAGTGTGTATAATATCTAAGTGTCTACAAAACTTTTCTAGTTAATACCTATCAATACATAGAAAATACCGAGCAGATGAAATTAAAAATGATTATAAAAATAATTTTGCAAGATTATATTATATTTATGAAAAAAAAGTTAACAACTATGTTATACT